TTCTATAAATTAACTTATTTCAGTTCTCTTCTAAAGCTTCAGAAAAGTTTTAAATATTTAATTTGTAATTCATACGATATTTAAATTTAAAAATGTTCAGTTTTGTTGTTTACTAATAACGAATTAATCACTTATTCGTAAATAATTTTCATTTAAATGAAATTTACTATAGTAAATCATATTTCAGGATTTTTTATAATTATTATTTAATGAATTATTCAATAACAAACATGAAGATTATTTTCCAAAAAAATTTGAGATACTTTATATAATAATAGCAAATAATGGAGATTTATTGAGTTAATCGGAATGTATTTTTTTCTAAATCTGATAGAATAAACGAGGGAAGACCAAACTCCAAGCAGAAAATGTTAATGGAAAAGAAGACTGAAGAAATGGGACCAGTGAAGGAAGAAACGCAACTTCACTATGTTCGAAGAAGAAAATGAGAATATTCTTTCGATAAGCTAATTGTTAGGAAATATTTAAAATAACAAATAAGTATTAATTATTTTTGTGTGACGAAAGATTGTATTAAATTGTCAAGGTATCTTAACCATAATTGCATTAGATGTTCCACCATTTATTGTAAGAATATTTGTGAACAAATTGTGATTAGTAAAATTATATTTATTTATTTATTGCGATACAGGCCAACGAAGGATCGCGCGCATATCACTTCTAGGTCTCTTTCTCTTATTTTTTCTTTCTGCCCATATTCTCTTCATTTTTGCTCCAAACTCCCTACTTCACTCCTCTGTCCATTTCTCTCTTGCTTCCTCTAATCCGCTGCAAGAACCTTCATATTTTTCACTATTTTCACGAATTCATCGCTATCTTAGAAGTCCTCCTCTTTGATACCTATTTTGTTCACTTCTTATTTTATTTGTTCCGGATAACCTTATATGTTCTGCAGTCCCATTGCTTTATCGAACATTTGCTTGTTCAGCCTATTCAGATCCATTCAGATTAAAGTTCTTTAATCTCCTTTTTCTCATCGATGATTCAAAGTTCTCAATCTGCTCATAAAGCTCATCGTTCTTTTTTTATCGGTATTCTTCCCCCACCTTTCTCGGCCCGTATATTTTTCTCAGAATCTTTCTTTCTGTGTGAGTGATTCCATATTGGTAAATCCCTTAGTCTCCGACCCACAGAGTTTCATAGTGTATATATATATATATATATATATATATACTAGCTTTACCAGGCCGCGCTGCTATGGCTGTCTGGCAAAATGAAAAGGAAATACAATAGAAAACACATATGAGTGGATTAATAAAGGACATCTGTCATTTTTAAAAAGTTGGGAAACAAATTTGTCTGTAAAATGGCTTCAATTTTAACTAATTCTAATCATTTTTTTTTTTCATGATTCAGCTTGAATATTCATAATCATCAGAGTGAATACGCCGTCATTCTTAATCATCAGAAATAGTCTGAATTGCACTCATAAAAGAAAAATTGATTATATCTCCGCTCTCTGAAAATGGTAGAGATCCGTCTTTGATATGAAGCCACTCATACATTTTCATGTTTAATTTTATTATTTTTTTTTTTATTTAATCTATTGACTAATGTTCAACTTTGTGTTGATCACTTTATAGCAAATAAAAATTTAAATGTTTGTTTGTTCAAACTCTTAAATCTCGGAAAGTTATTCACCCATTGCCTTGAAATTTTAGCTTAAATACGCGTGTGGTTTAATATATCTACTATTACAAAATATAAGGTGAAACCACAGGCGGATCTATGGGGGTGGGCTTTCGGACTGAAGCCCCTCTCCCCAAAACGGTAAAATATAACCATGTTTTATAGAAAAAAATAATAGAACTATCTCTTAAAGTATTATTGTTCCTGTAATTAAATTTAATAAGACCTCAAAAATCACTTAAACACCATTTCATACAGGTAGTTGATTCCTTTCTTTCTTTTTTTTCAAATTAATTATAGTTTTATGTATGAAAAAAAATCTTTCGAGCTGAAGCCTCCTCAAAATTAAATCCTGGATCCACCAGTGGGTGAAACTATACATATTTATTAAAAACACGCCATCAGTAGGATGTAAAAGCAACACAATGTTTTAATGTTAAAGATTTTCAAATACCAATCGTGGCAATGCATTGAAATTGCGCTATAACATTTATCATAGAGTTCATTCGCATACCCCTCTTAAGATAGTTGATTGCTTTCTTCTTCTTAATAACAACTTGATTAAATTTAGAGTTGTAAAAATTGTGGTAAAAAATTAACCTTACTCGTGAAAGAAACCCTACGGTACAAGGTATACAATTTTTCCAACGTAATGTTAGAGAAAATAATTAATTAAAAAATAAAATAAACTGAAATAAATAAAAAACTGATTTCTAAAAGGAATGCAAACGGTGATAATTACTACTCAACAGTTCAATATTTTTAAACAATTCTAAATGATATATTTGTGATGTATCATACTACTTCTAGGATAGAGAGGAAAATAAAAAATGAGCATAAAGAGCGTATAATAGTATTCCACATAAGGAGAATCATATCAATACTTCAAATGATTCAATTACTGTACTAATTATAAAATGTTCAATTAATCAATAACAAAAAAAGAAAGGGAAATGGCCTTTTCTGAAGAGAAAGTAGCAAATGTTTAAAACTACAACGTTTTATGTAGAGAATTCATGACGTTTGAAATGAATATGGGTATTATTAATCAAAAGTTGTGTACTTTTTTAGTTATCGGCAAATAAAATTTTGAATTCATCTAAACATTTTTTCAGCTGGTTTTCGGGAAAGTATGTTATACAAATAAATCAAAAGGGTTTCAAGGGGAAGACTTTAGCCAAGTTTCTTTAAAATCGTTAAAGCCGTTGTGGCGCTACAGTATATGGCGACACGTTTTTCTGCCTCCATTTCGTAACGAAAGGCCGGATGGTAATAAAATGTTAAAAAACACTCCTGAATTCAATTGCAACGCTATGTCAAAATTTCAAAGAACTTTGGGAGAATAGTGGCTTTGAACAAAAAAAAAAAATACATTTTTATTTTTTTTACAACTATAAAATTATCGTAAGACAAAAGTACTATGCCAGAAACCTTCGCGGGGGTGTACGCAACAACTTCCCTAAGTTTCATGGCGATCGGATGAATGGTTTAGTAATACATAAAGGACAAACAGACAGACAGACATTCATTCATTTATATATATAGGTTTAGTAATACATAAAGGACAAACAGACAGACAGACATTCATTCATTTATATATATAGCCATGTATGTCTGGTTATAGCGTCTCTGCTCAGTCTTCACTGGTCCTTAATACAAAGTAATTTTTTTTTCTTCTCATGAGAACTCTTTAAGTCTTTGCAATAGTCTTCCACTCACATTATCGTTTTTCCTGATAGGAGCACCACTCTTCTAGCGGGTGCCACCACAGTCTCCAGATTGCCGACACAGGCCGTAGGAGGGACCGTTCCTCTTCTTGCACTCCCTGTAACTCTTCAAAAACCAGCATCCATAGACCCGAAAGTTTGTTTTGTCTCGTTTTTTTGTGTGTGTTTTTTTTTTCCTCGTAGAAATTATAATTACTTAATTCAATATGGTTGTCTTAGCTAGCTATTTACGAAGAAATATGATCCGCAGCATCGTGCCCAATAACGTAAATGTGATACTGGAGGCCCATGGCAGTCACGTTTTGAGGTCCCTTAAGCTTCTAGCTGAATATTTAAAGATGCGGCTGTTTTACTTGATGAAACAATGTTAATTATTAATTGTGTTTATAAATGTTGGATGATTTGATATTATATTTTATGACATAATGTTATAATGTTACGCTAAGCATACCCTTTTAAATAGGATGACATCTTTAGCAGCTTAATAGCTGTTCTGTGGAAATAAAACATACCACGGCAGGAAGAAAATTTAAAGATATATGAAATTTAATTATAATATTGATCTAAATACTCAAACCTGCAAGTCTTTTACCGGGGTTCTTTACTTAACAATTAGTTTTTAAAAAACCAATGAAACAAAAAATTTCTCTGTTTCGAAGTTTTTGTTAGGTCGAGGCCTATGGTATTTGCCAGCTTGCCAACTCCTATTTTTACGCCATTGGTCGTACCTCATCAGTTACTGGAGCAAGGGTCTAAACAAAATGCTATAGATAATTCAGTGAGTTGACGGGTACCAAGTTCTGCCAAAGGTGGCGATATTCCAATATATTAAAATATTTCAATGAAATGCACTTCTAGGCGGACTGAAAACCAAACATTACCGTGTGTTCTCTAACTAAAAACCCAAAGGCGCATGCAACTGTCATGTCTTGATTTCCGAAATTTTAAGTCCATCTCCATTGTAGAAACAGGATTCATCATGTTATACAAATAAATTAAAAGGGTTTCAAGGGGAAGACTTTAGCCAAGTTTCGTTAAAATCTTTAAAGCCGTTGTGGCGCTACATATATGGCGACACGTTTTTCTGCCTCCATTTCGAAACGAAAGGGCGGATGGTAATAAAATCCATTGTTATATATGGAAAGAATTCCATGATCTGAACCAAACTGGATACTGTTTTGTTAATTGCTAACATCTGTTAGGGATGATATCGACTATATAACTCCTTAAGTACCAATGATTTTTTTATACAATTACCTCATGCTACCTTATACTACTAGTATTACACTATTATTCTTACACTACTATTATGTAAGTTTTTTGAGTGTTATGTTTTTTGTTGCATAGCAACAAATATCTAAAAAAACTATTTTATTGACATATTGAACAATTGTTCAATATTGTTATATTATAATATATATATATATATATATATATATATATATATATATATATATATATATATATATATATATATATTATATATTTTTATTTTATTATATATATATTATATATTTTTATATATTTATACTTGATCATTTTTATGAGCATAAAAATGCTATGAATTTGTAGTTAATGTTTATTTAGATGGTGATTGAATATGTTTGTTGTTAGGATTATGTTATGATCTTTGGCGAAGAGTATAATGGAAGCATGACTCAATTATGTATAATATATATTTTTCAAAATATAGACATTATTATTCTCACATATACGGATTCGACAAGTCCAACCACCTACAGGTACACATTTGTTTTTTCTAATATTTAAAAATTGTTTAATAATTTTGGCTGTTTCAGAGAGAACTGAGCCACTTTTAAAATCCCAAGGGACAAATCCAAGCCATCCGTACTATTGTTATTATTAGGTACACTATTATTATTTTATAATAACTTTTACGCTTCATTTTCTCAAATATCTACATAGTGGAAAAACCTATAAGGGAATGCTGACGGACGATTTTATTTATATAAAAATGTTCTTACAATCTTGCACCTATCTAGCAGAACTGCGTTTTGAGCTGATTTAAATATGTAAAGTCACGTCCAAGATCTTTGGTATCTTGTGCGTGGTATAGACCCATTTTTATCGAATTATGAACATCAGCCTGAAACTTCGTAAATACTTTCGTCTCGTCGTAACCTACAACTATTTTGTTTATGAAAACTCTTGGAATTGGGGCGTTTTCAATCTGTAGGGGAGTGCAAACTTTCTATTTAATTAGGTACTAAAAACTTGTAAATACACATTTGTTTTCTATTTGTATCGTAAGATAATTTTATCACAAAACATTAAATGAATTTTTCAAAATTTTCAAGTTATATAAATTTAATTTTTATTAATTATTTAATTTTTAAAGTTATTAAATTTTCAAAATAACGAAGTTATATAAGACAAACGGGCCAATATTTTTGTAGGCCAATATTTTTCTCGATTTTGTGGTCAAATTATCTTACGATCTAAATAGAAAGTAAATCTGTATTTACGAGTTTTTATTACCTAATTAAATAGACAAAGTTTGCCCCCCCCCCTCCAGATTGAAAACGCCCCATTTCCAAGAGTTTTCGTAAACAAAATAGTTGTAGGATATGACGAGACGAAAGTATTTACGAAGTTTCAGGCTGATGTTATTAATTCGATAAAAATGGGTCTCTACCACGAACTAAGATACCAAAGATCTTGTAAAATAAATTCTAATAAATCTCATCAAATCACCTTTACCCTTCGACGTAAACCTATGACCTCATGTCCCACAGTATCCTTTAATAATACCCCACTTATCCCTGTTGAACAAATCCGATACCTTGGACTTCACTTGGACAAACGTCTGACTTGGAATCCTCATAACAGACTGAAACGACAAGAAACAGCTCGACGTTTCCGACTACTCCAACACTTACTAGACAAACGCTCTAAGCTTCCAGTTAATTACAAAAGACTCATATACATAACTACAATAAGACATATTTTGACTTACGGACTTGAGCTTTGGGGCTCCACTAAGCCATCGAATTCCTCTCGTATCCATTCCTTACAATCCAAAATCCTTCGGGAAAATCCTCAATGCTCCTTACTTTGTCACCAATAAAATAATCCATAATGACCTTAATGTTCCTTATGTTTTCGATTTGGCCCAATCCAGATACCAATCCTTCCATAATAAACTTCAGAACCATCCGAATCCTCTCGTCTCTACCCCTGCTTCATCTTCTATCCCTGATCCGAGGCGTATGAAAAGAAGATGGCCTCGAGATCTCTTATTGTAAATACATTTTGTTTTTAGAGTGCTAACCATTGGATAGTTTCTCAACAAGTGATTTCATGTTATTATTTTCTGTTATCAAATTTACTAAATGCATTTTATTTATTAATACAGTTGTAAATATCATGAATAAATAAAAAAAAAGTTTTAAATCAGAAATTTTATTATTATTATTATTATAATTTTTTATGTGAAAAGACATTTGACTGATGATAAGAATGTGATAGAGGACTGGAGGGGGGCCTCCCACCCGCAAGGCCGGTATAAGGCGCCCCTTGGAGGGTTGCACCGGCTCTGTTAGTACCGCATCAGTTTCAGTCATGAGAACATTCTGTCTACTTCTCGTCCTTGCATCAGCTTGTGAGTTTGTTATTTATTTATATTATAAACATCCAGTGTGTATATTACAAACACATAACATTTTGTAAATAGTCCTGCTTAATCTAGTGTCTTGAAGCCGAAGGTTTTCTTTTAAAGGAGGGGAAATGAGTACATTCTAAGTACAAATGTCACCTACACGGTTTCAAATCCAAAAATAAATTTTTAAAATTATTATTATTTATTATTTTTATATTAAATTCGAAATTTAATAAATAATGCATAATCATAAGCCGGTACTCGGAATATACACAAAAAAAAAATTAAACTGGAATAAATCCGAATAGCATGGAAGCTTGATTTTACCATAAACAAATAAAAGACAGGAATTGTCTAGAATTTCCAAACCATAACAAATTTACATAAACGATATTTCGTAAACATCGGAGGGAAAGTAGGATTCTCCGAAACTTCCCACCGAGCCAATTGTAAACTTAAAACTTAGTAAAATACGAGCGAAAAATCAATAAAGCGTTCATGTGCATTGTTCATTGTAAAAAATATATAAATTAAGCTGAACATGGTCTTATGATATGATTGTAATATTAACATACATGATAAATCTATATCAAGGTTTAAATAATTTAAGTTGGTTATAGCTTTCATTATTCCACCGATGGCTTCATATGATAATATATCTCGGTTGCGTGGGCTCATCAATGTTTCGTAAGATGCATCGGGTTGCAACATATTTCAAATTCCCCTTTCTCAAGTCAGAGGAGATGAGCTTAAACTAATGACTTCGTCATGCTTCCAGTCTTCATTATTTATTTTTTTCTTCAATGAGCCAGGCATTCTATATATGTATTTATAGGAAATAATTATAAATAATTCTCCATTAATGTGATGGTAAAATACTTGACCTTTCATTTCGCTTAAAAGCTTCACCGTTATAGGGCGTGTTGCATAACTATTTTGCAATCGACTTCTTCGGTATGTGTTTTGTTTAAGTTTACACCATATATTAAATAATAGTAAATAAAAAAAATATAATATTGAATAAAACTTGATTGTGTTGGAAAAACAAATTGTTATTAAAAATATGAAAAATAAATCTTGCTATAATTATTATAAATAAAAACAGTATTTACATTAAATTTTAATATACCATAATTAGAAGCATTAATTTGAGTTAAACAGATGTACTAATTTCTTTTATAAGAAATATGGCAAACGATTAGAAAGAAGAAATGCAAAAATCTAAGAAATATTATTTAACAACAGTAGTTTATAGTATATATTTAGTGAGATTTTTTGAGGCAAAATACATATGAAGTGAACGCAATTAGTATGCCTATATATTTATATAAAGTATTATTTCAATTTAAATTTATATATATTTAGTCACACTTAAGAAATAACCTATACTATTGTTCAGATTGGAATGATCTGGTTATAATAATACAAAGACCAGTGAGATCATTAATGATGTGAGTTCACTGAACTCTATTACATACTAGTTCTAACAAATCAACAATAGTCAATAGCTTTTCAGGTAAATAGGGGGAGATGACCTCGACAGAGTGCAACCGGCATGTGGAAACACTTTATTTGGTAGTTGTTTGTAAAGTGAACCACGCTAGCAGGAGAATGTCGCTATAGTAAAAGAATAGCAAACGAAAGTACAATGGACTGGAAGAGTTTTGTTACCCAAGTCGATCTAATCCTGTATTCTGGAGCTATTCAAAATGTAGCAGTCGGTATGTCTGCCACTTTCTCCTGTTTGGCACTTCCTGCTCTACAGGAATACAAGCGATCTCCTCAGGATATTTCCCGCTTTTTTTCATTTTTTTAGTTTATTCAAAGCTAACAACAATGTGATACTTTTATTTATCCAACATTTTTATAAATCATAAGGGATAGTAAATTTACAAAACAATATTGCGGGGAGAAAAAACTAAGGTGTTTGCTTTAGGCAATAATTATCAGACCACACGATAGAAGTGAAATTAAAAATATGAAATATAAATTATAAACAATAACACTATTTTTCCTTTTCGCCTCTCTAACACGCCGTAGCGTCAAGATACAATTTTGAATAATAGCCCATTACAGTGAGAATGGAATGCTGAACAATTACGTTGCTTACAGTATGTAGCTCCTATTTTAATTTTCTGAGATATTTTAATCCATATACAAAAACACTTCACTTAGTCCGACTTTACTCGAGCGTTACTCAAAGGAGATCTGACGGCTCAATCTAATTCACTCTCCACAAAAAAAGTGCAAAACGCTCCTAACGAAGTTTTCACTTCAAAAACAACCGAACGTATTAGGAGCAAAAGACCTTTTCAACTTTCCCTGATTTCGATTTTCTGTATCTTATACAACAACCTCATTTCAGTATTAACTCACATATCTGTATTAACTCCGTCAAATTCAACTGTTAAATTTTTGTTACTATGGTGACAGTTTTTTATATACCTTTGATATGTAGATTTAGGCAGACACCGTAAGAAGGTTATCGCCTAATAACAGCTATATGTTAGCAATATAATATAATAATATATTATAGTGGATTCTGAATAAAAAGTTTTTGGTTATAGTGTGTTCTTATCTTGGTTATGCTTAACTGTAAATCAAAAGTTTCCATTCATTTGCTTTTATGACGAATCCATCGTATTATTAGTCAACAGCACGTATCCCTGAGAACAGGTATCGTCACATTAACTGTCACGTGTAAACGCCTACCAGTGAAATACCGCATCTGATATAACTGTAATAGTGATCAACCGCACTGTTTGCGATATGACTCAAAATGGGCCTCGCTCGATGATTTATTTCGATTCTAAATCTACACTTAATCTCTACAAGATTCCTTTACTCTATACTACATTGCACTATAGAATACATTTGAACATATTGAAATATGCTACCTGGTAACCACAGGAATTTCTGGAAACGAAAAGGCGAATAAGCAGACAAGACTGGCTATCAAAACTGGCCAAGTGCTGAGAATCCGATCAAAGGTGGAATTGAATGTGGGAATGAATGTGGGAATGAATGTAGGTTAATGTGGGACTACAATATAATATAAGAATGCGTAAAACGTCCCAATAAAAATCTAAAGTTGACACAGAGAGAAGAGGTGGTTCTTATGCTCCTCAAGATTGGGCCACAGTTGTATCAATCAAAAGCTAGTTAATGAAAAAGGAAGAACCGCAAATAGGTCTCTACAGAGGGTGTAATTTAACAGCACACGTACTTATGTAGTAGAAATATCTCATGACTCATACAGACGCATCCTAGATATCTGAAAGCATGATATTAACAAAGACAACACTTTGAAACGATCGGGAAAATTCTTGAGGTGTACGAATGATAATAAATAGCAAGAACGAGCGTAAGAAGACATTATTCGTTAATGGACAGTAGTCGACGAATGGGGTGGCCGAATGGGCTAAAGCGTGTGCACTGCACCGCCGTTGCCCGGCAACCTGACATATGAATCAAAGATATAAAACTAGTCACGAGTTCGCGTCCCGGTGCCGGGGGGAGTCTTTTAAATCCTCGCCCACACCCTCTGGTCCGGGAAAATCCCGTAAAGCCTTAACAGCGAGGAAGGAAAGGACCCAAAAAAAAAATCTATAATTAACAATGTATTTGATTGCGATAGTTTCTGTAAAGAGTAACATCGTCAAGTTCGATAGGAATTCTGCGACATCGATTAAAAAAGAATGTGGAGAAGAACATAATACAGAAGTTGAAACCACAAAGGCAAGAACTCTTAATGCTGAAGAGTAGAAGGTTATAACATTTAGTGCCATTTTAAAATTTCACGGAAAAATAAATGTGAGGTTTAGCAAACTCAACTCTTCAACTTCAACGCAAGGCCAGGACCCATTCTGTGGACTCTAAAAAATAATTTAAATCTTTAAATTCCGGAATCGAACCTGCAGCAGATTGTTGCTCGAGAGATATATTAATGTTCATAAAACTCGACTATCGAAATATCATTTTAGTCTAAACGTCAAGGTTAAGAAATGTTTGTTTGGTAAATAAATAATAAAGACTTTATTTGAGTTTATCATGCAATGTATAATGTATATGTAATACATACGGACCACACAACACTTTTAAATATGAAGTTGGTCCGTTTTTGAAAAAAAAGTTGCTCATTTCTGATCTTGAAGTTTCATAACAATAATTGACAGAGAAATATTCCGAGGCTGTGACTAACAAATCATAGGGTCCTGGAATAAGGGACAAATGAAAATGCACTGCTTCCTGATAATATAACCTTCGATTGGAGGGAAAAATATTAATTAATGAGATTTTTCATTAAATTATAATTGAATTTTTTATTAAACTCAAAAACAATTTGAGTTTAAATAGTAGTAATAAATTCCAATCAGTCTCGAAAGACATTTTTTGTATTAGAGAATTATTTTTTTCCTTCTGTCAGAATTGATTACTGTATATATCAAAACAGAGATAACGGAATGTAACTCCTTAGGGTGTTGCATTATAAGCAGATATTATATAATATCGACCCCTAATTTGAAGGGTTCTATAAATCAAACTAATGTATAGGCGTTTATTAATGGTAATGATATTCAAATATATGCCGTATAAAGAATATTTAATTTTTTTTTTTATGGGTAATAACATTTCTTCATAACGTCTAACATATAAGAAACTGCAAAATATCGATAAATTTCAATTTTTAAAACATGATAAAATGTGACATAGGAATACTACTTACCTCATTACATTTGAGTGTAATAAAAACTTAAATAAGATTTAAACAAAAATAAAACAATTAAATTAAAATCAGAATATTTTAACGACGTTTTTATTTCACATTCGAACATGGAAAATTGCAGATAAATACAATTATACAGTCAAATATATGTTAAGAAGAGAAGAAATAAACAAATGCACTGCTGCACGAATGAAGAGTGCACAGCGAATAACTTAACCTACTTTCATAACCTTAGAAAGCATAAACTTGCAGATCAATTTCAGTAACAATAGGAATT